CTTCTCTCTGCACTCTGGGTTCCATGTTCACCAGGTATGCTCTATATCAATGGGAGCAGACTTTATATTTGCCAGGCATGACACAAATTAACCCCTTACAAAGCCCAAATTCCATTCTGATCCTTCACCCCTCCCGATTGTCTGCTCTGCTTTCTGTTCTCTACCCAACGTGCTGCTCTGTTTTCTTCTCCCTGCCCTATCTACCCTACCTTCTCCTTTGCCTACCACATGCCACACACTGAGGCTGCCCATGCTACAGACTGATCCTGGCAGAACTGCCCCAGTGCAGCAGACTACTGTGAAAGGCAAAGAATGAGCTCTCTGCTTTCCTGCAGGCTGTCCTGATGGGGCAATCTGGTACCAGTCAGAGGCAAGAAGACATGGGGCCAGAGCTTTCTGGAACCCTCACAGTTCCACTAGGGACTGTGGAGTGCAAGCTAAGGCACTCGTCATCCTGGCTTATCCTGACAGAGACTATCACAAGGAATCTACAAAGCCTCCCCTCCTAGCTGCTTAATTCCCAACCCCTCCTAAAGTGCAACAGAAAACCAGACATTTCCAGATCCATTACCTCTCTGGATAGGCCTGAGGTCCATGGATTAAACTCTCCTTTGCTAAAAGTAAGGTCCTTGGACAGCAAGAAGGCCAGGATGCACTCGCTACTCTGCTTTGACACTATCCATGGGTTTAGCTCTATAACTGGACAGAGCATTCTGATCTGAGTAAAGAGGCAGGGATGGACACATATGGTCCCCCAGAATGAAGCAGCAGCAGAACGTGTTCACCCTTTCATCCCTGGGCACTTCTGCTGGGCTCCCATCTTTGCCCTGGGACTTTGACAGGAACAACACCACTATGTCCTCAGTTGTGGAAAGCTTACCAGGGGATGGCTGATGCTGAGGACTCCTGCTATAAATACTTTGTGGAGACAACTGGAGTGCTACTACAGAGTAAAGTGGAAAAAGTCATCCACACAGGGACCCTCCAGTGATGACTTTGCTAGGCACTGCTAATATCTGGTCTGCGAGTATCAGTGCTGACTTGTGTTGTGTTCAGTGTTTAAACATCTTTGTGGTAGCTTTGCAGGAACATCCATTTGTCTAAACAGCATGCCTAAGAAGCATGCAGCATTGCATGTGAGTGCATGTTTGTCATGTTTTAGTAAGGTAGGACTCAGAACATCCAGAAAAAAAGCCATTTTTGGAAGTGCTCATTAATGTCTGCCTGACTTGAGAACCAAAGTTGCTTTAGAAACTTTAAGAAAGCTCAGATTGATCATGTTAAGTACTTTTTTCAAAGAAGAATCAGAACCAAACAGAACAAAAATATTGGAATGGTTTCATGAAAAGGAGATTTGATACAAGCTTGATCACTGTGCTGCCATCAGCATCTCCTTAGATAGCACCTCATTTGCTTTCACAGATTTCAAGGTGCTTTTTAAAGGATAAGATAAGTGAAGAAAAATGACTCTCTCAGTATCCTTCAGGGAGTTAAAGGCAGGTCCAAAATTAGAGGACAGGTCTGGCTTTTGGCACTGTCAGAATATGTCTGTATTGAAGAGTTAGCTTGGGCTCATACATGGGTGCTGTTCCGCTTATTGTATATATAATAAGCGCATATACAAGCCCACCTTGTCTAAGTTGGGTAGTGATGGATAGCTGAGTATTGAGGACAGCTGGCCTGGCTGGGCATGTAAGTTCAGTGTTTTTGGTGTTAGGCAAGCTGTGACCCACCTACATTGCCACTGGATGACACTGCAGTACGGATAGCCCTCCAGAGCCTTCCCACATTCTACCCCATGTGCCCAGAAGAACAGCAGAGTTTTCTGAAAATTACTGGGAAAGAATCATCATCTCAGTTGACTGCAGCACAAAGAACTATGACGTGCCTCAAGAAACACATACAAGTGCGTGCAGCACCACTAAGTATTCAGCTTGGGGTTAATGGTATGGCTCACATGTGGGTGTCAATCACCCAAGTTAGCTCTTCAGTGGAGATACAGCCTCACGCTCTATAATGCTTTTGATGCCTTTATTTTTTTTTAAATTCCAGGTGGTATCAGTAACACAGGTAAGGAAACGTGTTAAAATGACTTCGGGTCTTAATATTCACTTCAGTAAAATCACTTGGCTCCAAGTTTGTTACCAGATTATTGTTATTACTAGCTGGGTGAGTCTACATGAACATTTACTGCACAGAAAATTACTGTGCAGTAAGCAGTTTCTAGGCCGGGGTCTACATGTGCTGACATTAACACCTTAATGCAATGCAAAGCAGCTTGCTGGGTGACCGCATCAGCCTGCCTTGGTCAGCACCCTGGACAGCCCTAGCCAAAATCTCCTCCCCATGTTCCTGCTTTCCATCCAAGGACAGTAGCCGAAGCCAAGCACATGGGACATCACCTGCTGCTGGAGAGCTGGAGCTGCAGCTCTGGTAGCAGGGAAAGGCCCCACGTGACTCCCTGCAGGGGAAGGGGGCAGCAGGGCAGGCAGGTTTGGGGCTGCTGTGTCATCTGTCTGCAGTGTCTGATGCTGCTTTCCCTGCCCTATGGAGTGAGCCTGGGCAGGGTTGGGGCTGTGTCTGCTCCCAGCTGCTAGTGCCAGTTTCCCTGTTGTGTGTACTTTTGTTCCAGGCATGTGCAGGGCTTTCCTGCCACCAGGACACTGCCTGTGAGAGAAGCTGGGTGCAGCACGAGGGGAGTGAGCCACATGGAGCCACCAGCAGTGCATGCCACTTCTCTCACAGCAGCCCTGTCAGTGCTGCTGCCCCCTTCCCCTGCTGCTGGAACTGTGGCTTCAGCTCTGCAGCAACAGGTGGCATGGCACCCAGTGACAGCGTGCCATGCTGCATGCTGGGCTCTGGCCGCTCAGCCTAAGGTGACTAATGCAATGTTAATTGTCTTACAGCGCCTTACATGCCAGGTGTTACTGTGCAGTAAGACATCTACACGTGTAAATTTGATACCTACATCAAGCAGGTTTCAAATTTGCACCCAACTTAGCATACATCGCCATAGTTACTGCACAATACCGGCAGGCATATATAGACACGGCCCATCCTGTGCAGTAGTTTTTAGGTTACTGTGCAGTAACTGTGCACATGTAGATGTGCCCTCAGTGTTTCTTCTGCTACAATTCACTATTTGTACTCTGGGGGATGTTGGCAGAGGGGCGGGGAAGGGGTGTGCACCTATACTCAGCTTGTGAATCGGTAAACAAGGAAGGTATTCCCAAGCACAAAATACCTAGAAGTATGCATGCAATGAATTAAGGTTAGTGGATGTAGCAGGTGTAAAAATCCAAGCATCCAGTACATTATTGTAGGTGATGCAATCACTCTGCTGTAGTCAGAGTGAGGATTTGATAGGGAAATGAACATGTGTGTGAAAGAAGGGTAATGTACTAGTTCAGGCAGAAAGACAACTAATCTGCTGTGTGTTATGTGCTGTCCTGCATGTATACAACTAGAAACAGACCTAAACAGAGATTAGGTGAGCACTTCATCTCTGTGTTTGGGTTAGAAGTCCAATAGCATAGACTCATAGAAAAGTAGGGCTTAGAATCCATAGAGCATTGGCAATGTCAGCCTGCCCAGTGGTTCACACCATAGAAAAAGGGGAGGCAAAACAGAGCAGGGGGCTACAGACAAGAAAAATGAGGGAGTAGATTCCAAAGAGAAACTAGGCAAAAGCAAATACTGGAACACCCGATGACTAGATGCCATTCCTAGTGTTGGAGAAAGCTCAGTTTGCTCTCCAGCCACCTGACACTTGACAACCTTGCGTCTATATTTGATGACATGTGCCTGAAGTTTTATGTTCATGGTATGTTTTATTCTGTGCTGCCTCTGTGTGGATTCCCAGCATGTTGACAATGAATTTGAAACAGTATTATTCAAGTTGAAAGCTTCAGTGACTTTTGTCCCATGAGGAATGCCAGGAGAGAGCCTTCATTCCGGTCTGTTCAATGGGGCAAAGTTTGCAGGCATCTTACAACAGTTATGGAAATGGAGGTGGGAGGGTGTCAACACCCAGTTCGTTTATTTGTGCAATATAAGTGTCATCCTTTGGTTCTGTAGAAATGCCTTTTTAAATTTTATATGTTTTTTTCGCTCCTTCGTGGTTGTGAAGAAAGATGACCCGAGTCATTTAGACACACATCACACATAGTGATGTGTGTCTAAGCCTGCAGAGAGCTCAGACATACATCAATATATGATGTCACAGTAGTTCTGAGAGGAATGAACATTGCCCTTTAATTAACCTCAGTCAGGTGTTAATAGCAAAGTCTAACAGAGACACTTTAAAAGTCAGCATTTAACTATTGATTTGCTGATCATTTAGTAAAGGACTTGGGGAAATGATGGGGGAAATTAGAAGTTTCTGTGGGAAAGGAGATGCAGAAAAGAGATTGCCAGAAAAGGGAGAGAGAAACAGAGGAAGGAGCATAGGAAAAGACCCAAGGGCAAAGACAGTCTCAACCCTTATGGGGATTACACTTTCTAACCAAGCAATGCTGAACAGAACAATAAGATGCTGAATGCATCTGTTTGCTAAAGAAAGGACATGTTGTCCCCTTGATCTTTGTGCAAAACTCTTGTTGCACTATTCTTGGAAAGGTTGGTCAGAAGATACCTCTTAGGAAAGAGGAGCAGTCCTGACCATATCACCTATGGAGTCCTGACTATATCAGCAAGTCTGCCCTCTGCAGAATAGAGTGCGGTAACATAGTTTACATTTATGACAGGTCTGTTCCATGCAGGACAATAGCAGAAAAAAAATGCCATTTAAGGATTGTTACATCTTTGCCAAATGCTACCTTTGCAAAGCTCCAGTGTCTGTAGATGGTACTTGTGCTAGGAATGGATCCAGGGGTCCTGAGGGGATGAATAGATATGTTTCACATTACCCTCCCTCACTCCTGTTCATGTTGTAATATCTATACTAATGGTCATCTGGGTTTTAAGCTTTTTTTTCTTTTTTTATGTTTATCTTATTCCAGATGTATGCTCTGAAGCCTTTTGAAATGAATGGTCTGCCCAAGACGGTGCCTTTAAGTTTGCCTTATGAAAACTTCAAAAAGGATGTATCAGACTATAGGGAAAAGCCTAGGATCCTCCAACGGATAAAGAAAGTTGACTTCTCAACTGTTGTCTTGACTGCTCCTTACAAAGCCGAACCACATCTAGAAATTAATGGAAGATGTGAAGACGAAGAAGAAGGGGAAGAGGAGGAGGATGATGCTGGTTATTTAGGAGAAGAGGTTGACATGCACAGTGGCTCCAGCAGTGATGTGAGTCAGAAGAGCACAGAACACAGTCAGGAAGGTGCTCCATCTACCTTGTTGGCAGATGACCAGAAGGAGTCCAAAGGTCGAGCTTCCACTGCAGATGGTGATTTGGAACTGGAGGAAGGCTCAAAAACACTTGTGTTGTTTTCACCTGGTGACTTGAAGAAATCGCCTGTTACTGCAGACTTGGCTCCAGAAGTCGATCTAGGGACTCTTGCTGCATTAACACCTCAGAGCGAGCGGCCACAACCCATGGGTAGTCAGCTGGATGTATCAGAGCCAGGGACTCTGTCCTCAGTCCTTAAATCAGAACCAAAACCACCAGTTGCAGTGGCTACTACTTCCTCCCCATTTACCAAAGTTGAGCGCACATTTGTTCATATTGCTGAAAAGACCCACCTAAATGTAATGTCCAGTGGCCAGCTGGTGAGGCATGATGATTACTGCCCTCCTAGCCAGTTTGAAGAGATCATCATTGAGGAGGAGCTGGAAGAAAATCCTGTATTGGTAGAAAATGGTACTTTGCATTCTGGTTTACAAGGTGCAGAGACAGCTTTCTCAGCTAACCATGTTGAAACAACCTCAGAGATGGCAGGAGAACAACCATCACTTCCTAATGGTGTAGCCAAGCTTCAAGAGGAGTGTATCGAGCTCAAAGATAAAGTGGAACTTGCACAGGATTTGGAAGAAACTGGTAAACTTATTTCTGAAGAGACAGTCCTTGAAAAAACAATTCCCGTAGCAGAGAACCTCCATGAAGCACCAAAGCAAGGCCCCAGGAAGTTGCTGGGCTCCAGATACAGAAGCCGGATTCCCATCTTGTTCTCAGAAGAGGACACTGGCTCAGAGCTTTCAGCCTCTCTCTCGGGCAAAGAAAGACTTCATAAGAGGTCAAAACATCCAGACTTAGCTCGCCTAGTGATGGAGAAGAGGCAGAACCGTCTCCTCAGACTGGCTTCTGGGGCATCCTCCTCAGCATCCTCTAGTGATGAGAGGCACAGGGCCTCAGAGACCCTGTCAGCCACTGGCTCTGAAGAAGACATGCATGACTCTGATGACTCCATCCCAAGAAAAGCAGAGGAGGAGAAAGTTCCCTTTCTGGGTAGGGAAGAAAAAACCTTAAGCACGAAGAGCAGAATCCCTCGCCCCATTGCACCCATGAAGACACCACCAATGACAATAAAGTTTTGTAGCCCATCAGCAGTTGCACCACTAATACCAAGGAGCTCCCCACTAGATACTGCTCTCACAAGCAGGTAAAACAGGAGTACTTTTGTTCAGGCATCAAAGTCTCTAGGTTTCTTTAGATTTGTTCACCCTTGGCATTCAGGCCCCCTTGTGCTTACCTTAGCTATGGTGTCCACTCTCTCTCTCACTTTTCTTCAGCCAGGCCCTATGGTCCACCTCCATCCCCATTGTCACACGGTCCTGGGGACCATTCTCTAACCCCCTTGATCTCAGCCATGCCAAGGGGTCTGTTCTCATCCCCTCTTATGCTTGGCCTGTCTCTAAGTCCCATCCCCCAGTGCTCCTGCACCTGGCTTAACTCTGGGATCAACCCACTGACCTCTTAATACTGAGCCTGGCTGTGGAATCTAACCCCCATCATTTCCCTCCACCTGTTCATGGAGCCCCCCTCAACCCCTCTATTCTGGCTGGGTCATAGCATCAACCCCTCAATTTTCTTGTGCTTGGCCTGGCTGTAGGAATCCAACCTCCTCAAATAGTCTCCATCAGTCTAGCCCCGAGATGCCTTTTCCAAATACTTTTTCACTTAGCCTAGCATGGGATCCACTCCCAACTCTATTATGCTTTGTCCGGCTAGAGCTCCTATTCTAAATGACTTGAACTGGCCTTACCATTGGGATCCCTGCCCCCTGTTTTCTTATTCATGTCCTTTTGTCTGTTTCAGTACTGTGTTTCATTTTGCCTTCAGCTTTCATCATGCTGGCTGTGTCTACACAAGGCACTGACTGCACAGTAGCCTGAGACTACTGCACAGTAGCACTGCATGGCAGAAACTGTAATGTGATGCTATTGCACAGTCGTCTTGGGCTACTACACAGTCAGTGTCACAAAAAAGCTGCTTGTCTGTTTATACAAGTACTAAATGACTGTGCAGTAACAACTGTGCAGTCAGCATCTTGTGTAGATGTGGCGACTGTGTCTGGCCTTGAAGCCATCTGGATTGGCCTACCCTGGGTGTTATTACTACAAGACTAGAGCACAGAGGATTCAGCATTAAAAGCTAGATCCAGAGTTTCCAAATTGCTCAGTGCCCAGCCTGTTCTCAGCATAGATACAGAGCTGTATGCCCTCCTGGGAGTACAGTTGGGGTGGATCTCACACACTGGAGAAGGACCAGCACAGGTATATGCTACAACTTTCCTCTTGGATATATATTCCAAAGACCCCACCAGTGCCAGAGGAAAGGAGTTGAGGATGGAGGGGAGGGGGAGGGAAGAAGGAGGGAGAGTCAAGAGTACATTGTGCTGACTGCTCTGCACACATAATGGTATAATCTCTGTTACTGAAGCAACAGCAGTGTTCAGAAGATGAACACCATGTGAAGAGTTTGGGAGAAGGGTATAAATCACACACACAGTGTGTAACATAAAGGCAGTTGGTATTTCTCTTAGAAATACTTAAGGATTGGCTTTTCTTACGTGCCACTGGGCCTGGCTTTTTGACCCACCAGTGGGGTTCCCTGCATGCCCCTCAAAGAGATGTATAGCATAAGCCAGTAATTCTCAACCTTTTTAAATTAAAGGCAGTCCTTGTTAGAGGGCTCAAGAAAATGCCAGATAATAAAGTAATTTTTCTATTGCACACAACTCAGAAAGGCTACAATGGTTCAGAATTTTTTTAACACTATGAGCAGGTCTACATGAGATGCCTTACTGCGCAGTACAGCTAATTACTATGCAGTAAGTGTCTGTGTCTACACATGCTGCAACAGAATGTGCTGATGCTTAGTGTGCAGAAATTGGCCTTAATCACAATTTGCTACCTGAAAATGCAAAATGGTCAGCTGGAAATCAGGAACGATCACCTGGAATGGTCAGCTGGAAATAAGAGATACTTAGCTCCCACTGCCAGCTCCGTGGTCATGGGGCTGGTACTGGGAGATTCATTTCTCCCAGCCTGGGCTCCAGAGTCATGGAGCAGGGGCTGGGAACTCAATGCTGCCAAGGCAAGGGGACATTGCCTCTGCCCAGGCTTCAGCTCCCAGGGGCAGGGAGACAGCTGTCTCTTGAACCCTGGGCTAGCACTCAGGTGGAGCCTAGACTTTTCCCTGGCTACTGCAGGGGCCTATTGCAGGGCCACAGAGAGCAGGAGCAGTCTGCTGCGAGGAGCAGCAAATCTGCTTATGCATCCCTGCATGTGTAGACATGTGCCCTGGAGAGTTTACTCTCCAGTAGTTTACTCAAGAGTAAACTGCTCCCGGATTATTTGCATATGTAGATGTGCCCATAGTAGCGATCATGTGGGTCTACACATGGTCGCCCGCTATGTTGCCATACTGACACGCTCCCCCAGTATAGCGTGCCACTATGCCAACGTAGTGGCAAAATCTAACTCTGCGTTGTGCAGATGGTACAGTAACTGCCCTTGCTGCACCATGCTTTAAGCATGGTGCCATAGCAACATTGCCATATGACAATGCGTTGATGTGCTCTCTGTGTTCTTATTTGAAATTATTGGGTTTATTTTGCACATCTAATTGTGTTAATGTTGCATGGCATCCCTCAGCACTCCTAAAAGGATCTCAAGGCACTCTAGAATGTTGTGGCACTGTAACCGGGGGGGCCTTCTCGGGGCTGATTTCACTGTGGCCCGGCCCCCTGTTTCTGGGCTAACCGCCCGCCATGCCTTGTCGGCGATTGATTCATTGTTGTTAATAAAGCGGGAGGCTGCCCATTTCCTGCTCCTGTTTCCTGCTCCGTTCCTCCCCTTCACCGCAGCCCAAGCCTCGCAGATGGCATCCATAGTTCTCACAATCACCAGCCCCTCGCTGGGCCCCAGGATTCTACTGTTTGAACCCCTCTACGATCCTTCCATTCTGGCGGCCTAATCTGCCTTCATCCTGGGCAGCATAGCTCCCTGAACTGTCTGCTTCCCCTTCTGGGTGTGGTCCCCCCGGGACGTTTGGCTCACTAGCCCTGGCCAACCTCCACGCCAGTCGGAACCCCAGGCCCTCAGCTCTCGGGTGTTCCTTGCGGTGGGCCCCTGGCCCTTTGACCCTTCTGGTCCTGGCCCCAGCTTTGACTAGTCAGGGGATGTCCAGACAGGTGCAAGTCTATGGCCCCACTCTCTCACTGGGGCCCACTGTCCTACAAAGGGGTAAGGGTAACCCACCCGGTTGTGGAGGCTAGGGGTTAAGGCACCCTGACCTGCCTTTGACTGGGGTGGTAACTGGCCCAGTATTTCCTGGGGGCTCCCGCGCCACTGAGAGCCCCACCAGGCCACCCACTTCCGGCAGGGTGCAGTTTTAAGTCATACCCAGGACCAGGAGCCTCCTGACCATCCCCTACAGCTCCTCCCTTACCTCCAGATGATACCTGCAGCCAGGCAATGTCGCTGCCTGGCCTCCAGCAGGAAAACTGCCCTGTTTATATGGACAGCCCTAGGTTCAAAATGGCTGCCCTTATCAGGCACCCGGCAGCTGCCAGCTCCAGGCCCTTTAAAGTGGCAGGCACAAACAGTGCCCTGCCACAGGCACCCTGGTTGAGAATCACTGGCATAAGCTTTCCTGAATCAGTACTCACTTTGTCAGATATCATAGTATGTGATGAAGTGAGCTTGGGGTCACAAAAGTTTATGCTATATATCTCTGATTTAATTAGTCTATAAGATACAAATCTACCCTGCTCTCTACCTGACTTCAGATTAACATGGTTAACTACCTCTCTTTTCTTATCATTTCCTACATATCAGATATGATACAATCTCTTCCAAGTTTCATCAGTCTTTGTTAATACTAGCTTAGCTTCTTAGTTCCTAGACCATGAGCCTGATAGAGCTCTACCTGGCTCAATCCCTGGTAGACCCATGAGCCTGTGCTATAAGCACAGCGTTAGAAAAGCTTCTAAATTAGGCCTTAGAGCAGTGATTCTCAACCAGAGAATCACCCTGAGGGGTGCTGCAAGATCTTGTTAAGGATGCCTTACAATATTAGGACTGCTAGGTGTGCAAACACCTACACGAGTCACAAGATAAGCCTTGAGGTTTCAAATAGCATTTATAGTGTCAAGAGCATTCTGACCAGTTGTAGTCTTTCTGAGTTCTTTATGACATACTAATTGCTCTGGTGTTTTTTGGTTGTCAAAAAATAAGTGAAAACTGAAATGTGGCATTTTCTGAAGGGTGCCTTGAGTCTAAAAACCTTAGAGGGACTTTGTAGATTCAGAACAGAGAAGCCTGCATGTGAATCAGTGCTGTGGTTCTAAGATTTAGAAACATGGTGCTCAAGCTGGTTCCCTCTCTTTAGTCTTCAGTTGGTTCAGTATTGAGGCCACACTGAATTGGTTCAGTATTGAGGCTACACAAACTAGCAAGTTTTCCCAGCACCTGATGGTTGGGAGATTCCCTAGCAATATTTTTGCCAGCTCTGCAAGTAGCCGAGACCCTAGTACAGAGGTGTCTCCTCATGTCCCCTCTCTTCTCTCCTTGCAGGCTTCATGCACAGGGACCAACTGGGAGTGTGTTCACTGACACCCGAACAAAGCAGATGCAAAACTGGCCTCCTTCCTCACCAAGTCCTGCTCCTCCTCCTCGGCGAAGCAGCCCCAGGACAGCCATCTGTGGTCCCCCTAGGAGTCCTGTCCTTCCCCCCCAAAATCTCAATGCTTCCCCCAAAAGCCAGGTGTCCAGAAAGGAAAGTCCTTCACCATCTCGGCAGCATAGGTCAGGGACTGCCATTCAGCGAGTTCAACCTCCTCCCAGGTCCCAACCCAGAGTCCAAACAGGGGGTTTGAAAGGAGATGCTCCAACATCCCAGGGCACAGCCAGAAAAGGACAAAGAGGGAAAACCCAGACTGAGAGTCCAACAACCAAAGGAAGGCAAATGTCCATGGAAGGCAAGGCTGCTACCAGATAATGGTCTTCTGCTGCCAACCCATCAGGCTTGGTAACTTTTACCTATAGTATACATTTGAGATGCTGCAGCACAGCCTTACATGCCAGAACCACAAGCGTATAGCAAAAAGCTGTACTTCAGTACTTCACTCACTCTCATGCCATCGCGATACAGCTCCTACGGGGCCTCTGAGCCATGGAGTCTCTCACAGGGGAATCATCCAGGCCACAGCTCACGCTTGCTATTGCAAAGCACCAAGCAGTGACTCAGGCAGCCTGCCGAGTTCCTGACCCTCATTTGTCCCTCTGTAGTATCCTTTCTCAGTTAGCAATATCAGTCACCAATACCAAGTGCTGATACTTTAGCTTTTGAAACAGGTGCAAAGATTATGGGAGCAGGTGCTACATCCACCTGGAGGAGTGGGCTCCTGAACTGGAGGTGGCTCCCCCACATCTTTGTGTTTCTCTAGGGAAGTGTTCCTCTCATGCTGTGCTATACCTGATCATTGACAGCAATGGTTACAATCAAATGTCTCAACAGCTAACCTGCTTCAGAGTAGCATGAATTGACCTCTGTCATAATGAGTCCAGAGGAGAGGAGTGGCCCAAAACTTGCTTCCATTTCCAGGGAGTTCTAGCTAGCAAGTCAGAGAATCAGACTGGAGAGGGTGTCCTTGGGGTGGAACCCTGCTGTACATGATAAGCTCCCAGTTGCTCCAGTGTGTCCTACAGAAGAGGAAGCCTGGCACTGCTGCTCAATGTCCAACCCCTAAAACAACACTTCTGTTGCTGCAGGTGAATCAGTGCTGAAGCAGACTGCATTGACAGCTTGCAAGGGACCCAAGGGCTTCTGCTGACTGGCATAAAGGGATCAGATTGCAACCACCTTTGTATTTAACACCAGACTGTGACTTGGGGAGGCTACAGCCCCCAGCATGCAGGGGTCCCTCCGGAGCTGAATAGGTTTCAGTACAGCTGTTCCCATAGTCCCTACCAGCTGTAGCTCTTTGTTAAAGATATGGGTGGCCACTGTATCCCTTTAGCTTAGGTGCTATTGCATCTAAATGCCTTGTGTTCTATAGTCACGCTCCTGATGTTTGTGAATTTGGCAGTATGACTCTAAATTGCCCTTCAAAGTAGGGTGTGGGGTGATTATTGTACTATATACCTGAAAGCTGCTGATTTGTAGGCAGGGATTTTTTGGCACCTGGTGGGCATCCTGTTAATTTCTTCTAAACTAGGGTACAACCAGCTGATTCTGGGAGGATTGATTTCTTTCTCTTCCAGGTTTTGAGGGGAAACCAGCAGTGCAGAATGGATTAAGGGCCATGGCCATGCAGTTGTGTTCAGAGCAAAATATTGGTTCTCATTTAAAGACAAAACAAACAAAATTTTTAGCCCTCAGGGTTGAGAAGAAAGTGTGGACGTGTGACCAGAGTATGACTGATAGAACAATGCCTGCCTGAGTTGCAGAGTAACTGAGATAATTAGTGAGGGGGGCAAAATGATCCATGCATCTCCATTTAGGGGGAAACTCCCCAAGCTCTGTTGATTAGGTTGCCACCTCAGTACTGCCCAGCAGTGGACTTAGTGTGGCAGATCAAAATAACAGTGGGCTCTGTCCACCTGCTCCTGCAATTGCACCTTGCAGCTGGGGTAAGTATTTGCAGATGTCATGAAGACTAGAGCTGGGACTCTGGCTTGCATGAAAAAACTGGATGCATTTGAGGAGCACACTTTTAGAACTGTCAAATGCAAGGCCATATATTTCTAGGAAACAAAGTAATTCACACTTCTAGGATGTGAAGTGATAGAAAGTGACTCTGGGACTGTGATGCAGTGGTTAAGAAAGATAACACACTTCTTGGGTATGTGGGGAATATCCAGCAGATGTATGGGATGGGATTACCTCTCTAGCATTAGCTGTGTTACTGGCACCCAGTATTGTGTTGTATGTCCCAATATTTGGTGTTTTTCTTCAAGCTCCTACTCAAATTGTGAGAATCACAGATTCAGGTATCTAACCTTCCTGATTTCAGAGAAAAACCAAAAACTGTGCTAAATGTAGCATACGGACTGAGAAACCAGAAGGTCAAGGGAAAAGCTGACATCTATTATTTCTACAAATGTGAATTTTATCCAGTATCTTTTAGAATTGGGGGGGAGGGAGCAGAGCTGGGTTTTCATTTATTTTTTTAAATGTTTTGTTAACTTGAACCACTGTTGGATACCATTTCCAATTTTGTGCATGCACTGCAGAAGAGACATTGATAAATTGGAAGAGCTTGAAAAAAGACCAAGAATGTTTGAGTGATTTGAAAACCTGTCTCAGAGTGAGAGACTAAAGAAGCACAATGTACTTAGTTTATCCAACAGGCAGTTAAGGGGTGATTTTTTTTTCATGGTCTATAAGAACTGTGTGGGGAAGAAATTTCTGATAGCAGGGCCTCTGTTGTCAAGCAGAAGAAAGGCCTGGTGGCTTAGAATGAGGGAGGGGGTGAAACTGGACAAATTGAGGCTAGGAATTAGGCACAGTTTTTTGACAGCAAGAGAAACTAGGCAGTGGAAAGGTTGCCAAAGGAGAAGTGTATTCTCTATGACTTGGGGTAGATCTAAAGATCTGCTTGGGCCAGTTCAACCAGCAGTAGTGTGTGGATGCTAGAGTCGCTGACTGTTTTCTGGCTGCTGTGAGGCAATACCTCACCTTACATGATCATAACGGTCCCTTCTTACCATAAATATCTATGGATTTGTAAGAGTACTGCAGAGTCACCTTTGCGTCTCTGTGAAGGAACATGAGTTTTGTGGCCCCTTTCACAGAGAAGGACTGACGTGGTCCTATGCTGTGGTTGCAGCAGCTAGTGCTAGGGTATCTCTGTGCAGCATGTGTAAGCATGTCCAACTTCAAGGTAGCTTTGTTATCTGCAGTGACTCTGGAACAGCTGATCTCAGCATGGGCTAGGTGCTTAAAAATGTCTAGGACTTGATTTTGGTGGGCTTGATTTTGGTATGATGGCTAAGTTAAAGCTAGTTCAGGTATGCCTGTATGTGCTATCTCTTGCTCCCTCATTCAGTTAGACCTTGGTTTCTCATGAATTCTGGGATCCTGGTTTTCTCTGTTTAAAAATCACAAATTATTCGTTTAAAACACAAAATTCTCTGAGTAAAACCCCCAAAATCTGCAGTTTTCCATGATTAAAATAAAATGCCACTGTATATATATAAATATAAAAATAATATAGCTGTCAGTTGAACACAATGTTTTATTGATATAGTAACAATTTTAAAGCACTTTAGAAGCCTACCAGTGCCTCAATCATTATAATAAAATGAATTATAAATATGTATATGTTTTGGCATTTGATTTTTTTTGTTTTTTGTTTTTTGTTTTTTTTTTTGTTTTTTTTTTTTATCATGGAAAATTAGAGCTTTCTCTGTCCCCTTGATTCACCAGGTTCAGCTGTGGCTGTCTCTGCCTCCCCCCCCCTGCTTGTGGCACTGAGCAGCCCTGATACACTGGTGCCTTGCCCTTCCCCAACTCTGCTGGAGGGGGGTCCCAGCTGCCAGGGCTATGGGACCTGGCAGCTGCTGCAACCCAAGTGAAGCACAGAGCCCGGCATCTGCCCTCTCTCCTTTTGGGTGGCACAGTTGGAGTAAAGCTGAATGGAGCCTATGGGGAATGGGGGAGGATGTTGGCTGCCTACTACAGACTTGGGGCTTCCCACCCTGCTGCTCTGCCTCCACAGCCTAGTGGGTGGGACCTGGCACAGGAGGGAGGAGCAGAGCAAGGAGGCTCAGTGCTGACACCACTGCCACCTCTGCTGGGAGCACCACACCAGCTGTGCCACCATATTGAGGCACCCCTGCCTGCATAGCAGCAGCAAGAGTGGTGGTGGCATGGAGTTGTGTCCCCCACTGTTGCCAGATGGACAAGAGGTGCCGCCCCGTGGCAGTGTAGCTGGCACAAGGCTCCCAGTCGTTGTGGTAGTGGCACTGAGCCTCCCCACCCTGCTCCACTCTCCTGTGCCAGGTCCCGCTGGCTGAGCTGTGGAGGCCCCCAGGAAGAAGACAGCAGGGCAGCGATCCCTGAACCCCTCAACAGGCAGCCTGCATCCACCTTCATCCTGTGCACAAATCTGGGGGGATATGTGTCCCCTCATTCTCCGCTCCTTAGGAGTGCATGCAGGAGTGGGGAGCCAGCCCCCCTCCTCCCCCCCACTTCCCCCAGATGAGCCACCCATGGCTCCATTCCACTATCTCTGGATGGGCCCCACAGCTCCATGTTCCTGTCCTGGCTGGGCAGTGCCCCCAGCCACATCTGCCAACCCTGCCCTCCTAACCATGTCTGCCTCACTGTGCACCCCTCATACAACTCCTATGCCCTCCCCACCCTCCAACACATCACCTATGCCTCTCCCCACTGCCCGCCATAGACTTACCTGTAGGCACTTTGGGGAGATGTTGTTCACTACTATCTGGCTGTATTGCTGGCCACATGTATTTATGCATGCATGCATGCATCCATTTGGTGCCCCCTGTATCCTGCTCCCTCCAGCCCCAAGCAGCCCCTTGCAGGCTGAAACTCTTGCCAGCCTGCAAGAGGAAACCCACAGTATCCTGCATTTTTCTTCTTTAAAAGAGAGAATCTGTTTTTCCAGGTTTTTCCATGGCAAATGGAAAACCTGGATCCCTGCTCATGATAGAAATGAACTGCCTTGTTGTGAATAGCTGAGTGAATGGTTTAACAGCATTGAAGCCTCAGTGCTTCGCTGGGAGTTCTGCCTGGGTAAAGGCTGCATTGTCATGTCTGAGAGCAGGGAAATGTGGAATGGTAAGGTATCACAGTGTCTGCTGTACATAGGGACCTACCGAAATTGTGATTTTGCAGTTTTTGCAGAAATCATGAAATTGGGCAATAGCATCATTTTCAGTACTTTTTTTCCCCTGAAAATTTTGTGGTTGTGGCCCAGCTACGCAGCTTGCTTGTGTGGCTGGAGGAGGGGAGGGAGAAAGAGGAATGAAGGGGAGCCCAAGATGGCTGCCGCCTCTGCCCCTTGCCACTGATTAACTGAGAGAGCTGCTTATCATGTGGCCCTGCCCCTCTCTACCAATCAGCAGTGACAGGTGACATCACTGGGACCCCTCAGCCAATCAGAGTCATGGGGGACTCGCTGTGCTCAGCTTGCAAAAATGGTGGCTGGCCCTGTTATCTCCCTGTGAAATTGGCTGCCCACCTTCTTAAGCTGGGTAGACCCCTAGCCCTAGGTAAGTTGCCACAAATAGCGAGTTCTGGGTGCTGCACTTCAATAAGGACATGGAAAAACTTGAGAGGGTCCAGAAAAGAGCCACCTGTATGATCAGGGACTTGCAAGACAAGCCAAATGAGGAAAGGCTGAGGAGCATGGGCCTCTTTAGCCTAAAGAAGAGAAGGTTGAGAGGGGACTTGATAGTGGCTTACCGCTATATCAGAGGATTGCATCAGGAGCTCGGTGAACAACTGTTCACTAGGGAACCTCTGGGGAAGACCAGGACCAATGGATATAAGCTCCTGGAAGGCTGCTTCAGGCTTGATACCAGAAAAAACTCCTCAACTTGACCCCAGTTGTCTTCCTGCTTAGAGCAGGGGGACTGGACGCGATCTGCAAGGTCCCTTCCAGCCCCTAACAATCTACGAATCTATGAATCTATGCTCTGTCCTCATTTGTGGGCAGAAGGTGGTGTAAGCAGACCATGGCAAACTTACTGTCATTTTGGGTTGGATGAGGAGAGAGCAGTTGGTCATGGCTGATGGCTGTTTTCTGCAGCCACACTGCGTGAGACTTCCCTACCACAACCTGCTGAAGTGAGGTGGAAGCATGGAGGAATGGGACAAGTGGAGAACAGAACAGCAGCCACAGTTGCAGAGATCAGGGACCTTTCTTGAACTTGGTGTTTTTGGTATTTAGAGCAGGCCAGAGCCCTAGGTCTCTACTGACATTGTTTCATAGAATGCTCTAACTGGGCTGTCCAATAGGCAACTCATGGACTGCATGTGGCCCATGAGCAGTTATGTGGCCCACAGGCTCCAGCCTGGCCATTGCTCCTCCATTTGTTTCTGCTGTGGTTTTGAATGGGGTTTCTGGCCTCCTTCCTCCAGACTGTATTTCCTGCCCCCGCTCCTTGGGGGTGGGGCAGCACAATGAGAAGGGCTGGGCTGCCCATGATGCACACAAAGCAAGGGAACTGGGGGTATACATGGGAGAGGAACCAGGTGCTTGTGTTTCATGCATAGCAAAAGAAGGAGCTGGGCTGTGCATGTAGCACCAAAAAGGGGGTGGGATGCTGCCCAGAGGATGTGCCCATCTGGGAGGAGAGGTAAGGGTTATGCAGGCAGTGGTGAGAGAGATGGGCTGCCCTTTCTGGGTGTGCAGCAGGGATGGTGTGAGGGTACTGGTCTGTTTACATGGCAGGGGAGGAGCCAGGGTAGACATATGTACAGCTAATGACCCATGCAGTGTCTGGGCCCCAGGTCTGAACATTGTGTGGCATGTGGCCCCCAGCAAGCCAGAAGTTGGACTGCTCTGCTCTAATGTACTCAGAGACACGCATCCTTTTGGACACGTGGATATCAATTCTTATGCTGGTTCTCAACTCCCTAGATACTCTTGGAGACTGACCTTTGGGTGGCAGCTTTACAAAGAATAGAAAACGCCTAAGTCAGAGTGAAACAGAATCAGGCCATTTCCCCTCTTCTTTGCTCTAGAGTTACATCCACTGGTGGTATCCCTCAGTCCTTACAAGGTTTCTTCTACCAAACTGCTGCAAAGGAAGATCCTACAGCCCCAGTGACAGACTAGGATGCAGGGAAAGACCTTGGCTGAAGAGTGGGGCATGAGGCAAACTAGGAACATGTGTTGTTTTCGGTCTGCATTGCTTCCTAAAGAGCAACCCCTGAGGGTTGGGGGGAGTGACATTGTCCTTCAGCAATGGGACAGAAGCAGTTTAAAAAAAAATAGATGTGCTAGGCTCTGCCAAATGGTAGAAGATGATTCCAACATTAACACTGGCAAGCTTGGGGGAGGGGCAGAAAAGGCTAGAAAAGCAGAAGGAGCAAAAGATGAACAGTGCAAGACCCTGAAGGGATTCATGCATCCAAAGGAAATGTAAATGGAGGAACAGTGTATTTCTGTACCAAAGTGTTGAGAGCTTTAAGGCTTCACAAGCTGTATGCACACCAGTGGAGCTAAACTTACCAAGAGCAGTGGACAGCAATAGCCACAACTTTCATTTGAACTGTAATAACTAGTGATTTGGGACAAGTCTATGAGTGGCCTATCTATAGGTCTCCAACTCTGTCAGATGGTGTCGCTGTCTGCCAGACAAGAATTCAGTGCAGAGCTCTTTTTCATGGGGCAAGGCAAGATGCACTTCGATGGTACAGGACATTTTATGAATATGACTGCATCATAAAGTATGACTGTCCTGATCCATCTCCCATCCATTCTCGTAGCAGGTAGCTGAGGCTTTTAGTCAGCTTCTTCTTAAACATTTTTTTCTCTTTGTGTAAGTGTGTGGGCCACAGTTACCTGGTTGAATCTTTGTTTGCAAACAAGCTTGGACTGATTTAGTGACTGGTTTTGTTGAACCAGGATAAGCCCCTATGTGGACAGACTATTTTTTGGGCTATCATATTTTTCTTAAAACTATTTGTCATTCAACTTTAACTGAACTGTAACAAGCCAGGCTTTCTATGCATGTATGCATGCACACACACATGAACACCTTTCCTACCTCCTCACCTCCAGGAAATATGTAGGGCTGTGCGAAACAGCACCATTTTATTTCAACTTCCATTTCACCATTTTGATGGTACAGTGTTTCATTTTGTTTCATTTCAAAAGCACTGTTTTGTTCCATTTTGTTGAAACTGTTTCGCTGTTTCAACTCTTTTTTTAATGTTTCACTTGTAGGCTATAATGGGGAAGCACAACACTGCCTATAACTTTGTCATTTCTTGACTGATTTGGATGAAACTTACAGAAATGGTAGCTCCTGCTGAGTCCATGAAGCCTGCCACGTTTCAAGGAGATAGGTGTTGAGGTTTCTGGGAAACTGCACCTCAAGCTGCTGACAAGCAAAACTTGTGATGTGTGACTGTGTGTATGTGTTAAGGTGAAGCTGTTTTTCCGTCTCTCCCCCAGAGCACTGGGATTGGAAGGGACCTCAGGGAAGGATCACAGTTACTAGTCTGCTACACTGTCAATATCAGAGCAGTAGGGCTGTGCGAAGCTTCAGGTGGCGATTCGATTTGGAGGAGATTTGGCGAGATTCAGTGGCCGAATCTCTGAATCGGAACTGAATCAGAGGACCAATTTAAAGGTCTGAATTGATTCAAAGCTGTCTGAATCTTTGGAAAAGATTCAGAGAGCTTTGATCATTTGGGCAGTCCCCCATGGCTGCAGCAGGGAGTTGCAACTGACTCCAAGCTGGTACATACTAGGGGCGGGGAAGGGGGATCTGGGGGAGGGGACCATGGCAGGGGACCCCTGCCAGCCCCCCACTCCCTGTCTCCACTCCCCCGGCTCCCCCCATGGCTGCTCCCGCCTGCCCCAGCTCCCAATACTTTAAAGAAAAGCCCAGGTGCTCATGGGGTGCTTCTGGGCTGGGGGGCGATACCTGCTGGCCCCCCCCACTGCCCCACAGTGCATGAGGGGCTCTGCCACGAGACCCCAACTCCCAGATCCTCCACAGGTGCCCCACCTGGGCCAGCTCCAGCCCTTTAAGAAAAACAAAAGCAAAACAGAGAAAAGCCCCGGGACTCACCACTTCTGCAACAGCCTCAGGGCTTTGGGGGCTCATGCAGAGCCCCCCCCTCCATGGTGCAGGGCAGTGGGGGACAGTGGGGATCGACCCCGCCAGCAGGAGCAGCGAGTCCTGGGGTTTCTTTGGTTCTTTTTTTTTTCTTCTTAAAGGGCTAGAGCTGACCTGGGCGGGGCACCTGTGAGGGGGCTGTGGGAGCGAGGGAGGGTCAGAGGGCTTGTGCAGAGCCCCACATGAAGACTGCCTGCAATGAGGTCCATGCTTCTGTAGCTATACTGGTAGCAATACTCAAGCTACCTAGTTTAACACTGGCTCAGGTAGGTGACTACAGTTTGTGCAGACAGCTGCGACTGTGGTATGGGCATCATGCCAGTATTTGTGTATGTTGGGGATTAGCACTGATTACAAGCATCAGCCATTACAACTGCTGTAACTGCCCTAGTACAATCCTTTTGAGTAGAAAGAGTAGGCTAAAGTTTTATTTGTGCTGGTTTAGCTCAGCTTGAACTCTCAAGGCTGTACACAGGAAGCTATTTGCAATATACAATGACAACATCAGTTTCATTGAGTCTACAAGTTGATAGCCCACACAGCAGATGCTATTATTGCCAATAGAGGCTGTTCTTTATGTTTTAACTACATATGCTCACACAGTCAGACAACTTTATAAATGTTGCTTTTTATGTTCTACTCTTGTAACAAGCTCCAGCAGGGCAGAGAATAGCTATGTTCCTCTATAGTAGAGACTTGCCTTGATGCAACTATAACAGTTAGTGACTGTTTGAATTGGAATGCATCCACCCCATAAAGAGCAGAGCTGTGCACTAGCATTTCTGATGGAATCTGGGATCCTCTGTCACAGCCTGGATCCTGCCAGTCAGTAAAGGGTCTTGTGGAGAACACCAGTGAGCCTTCTTGCCTGCTCTGTGTTGGAAGCTATTATGGCTCATTAAGTTTAGTTCCTGTAATGACAGGAACTGACATAATATGCCATAATCAGATGAATGTTCTTTTTGTGATGCTACTGTGTATTAGACTAAATGTACTATACATTAGCACATTCATTCATTTCTTTTGATCCAGTATCTTTATTTGAGTTTTAAATCACCACAGATGCTGTAAACCCTCGTGAGGTTGTCTCTCCTCAGGCAGACCCTCTCTACTAACCTGTCCAGCAGGTGTTGCCCTGTGCAGGTGGCTGCTCCCATAAATTTAGGAGGAAAGAAGGTACACTATGCTTTTTATTCTCAGAACTGTAACCGGAAGAAAAAGATGGTTAAGAGGTATGTTAAGGCATGCTCAGCTTTGTGTGCAGAGAAAGGAATGAAACCATTGCTGCTAAATTCATGATATGCACTTTGGAACATGACTTTCCTGGAAGGAGTGGAGGTTAAAAATACTTCCTGCTTCTAGCACATAGCTAGGTCAGATCTAAGGTTAATGGCCTTCCCTGTAGAACTTTTGCTTGTTGTATAGTGGCTGTACCAGATCAGCAGGATATCTCACTGACACACCTGGGGGCCTAATTCTTTCTTGCCTAGCACTTTTTGTTTTCATTTACACCAATACAATGCAGATGTGACATGATATCATACTGATTAGATAGTGTCTGACATTCCACTTCAGTCTAGCATAAACGACTGCTCAAGATATCAGTATCTGGAGAATCGAGCCTTATTTCTTGGCTGCAGGGAACGTATAAAGAACTCTCGAGGATGTTGATGGGGTATCATAAGATAAGTAAAAATAAATGATATGTATAAACACAGATATCAGTGGCATTGTGCTGTATTCTGTGACCTGGACTGCTGCTTCTGTGGACAGGAGTTGGAGCTGAAATGTAGTTACTTTGTATATTTTTAACATGGTAACACTTGACTCTATACTGGAAATGATACATCTGGAGCAACTCTTTATTTCCTTCCTTTCTGACTGAGCCAAGCAAAGTGTTCTGACCTGGAGACAGGAGTTCTGCTCCTTGATACTGTCTGCTTGGAAATGCAACTGGGTCCCAAGGCGAAAACTCTCTCTATATCCTTTTCTTGCATTCTTTAGGAAAGCAGCTATAGAATGTTTACACATTGCAAATAGAATGTACAACTACAAACAAGGAAATCAAATTTGGTTTACCTGCATGGCCAATTTTTCAGCCATAAAGTCTGGCATGCCTCAAAAAGACCCTGTCTGCGTACAAATCCACCTAGCATTTGTAATAACTCCAGAACATGTATTTAAACTTTGATGACATTTATCATTTGTATCAAAAACAGCTGTCATTATTAGATTTGTTATTAAAAGGAAATTCTCAATCATGCCATTAAAAAGCCTGTCTACCTTTTTCACTAGTGTTTCACCCCATTTATTTGATTTCATCCAGATGATGTTCTGAATGAAGAGTGTTGCAGCTTGGAACTTTCCTTAATTCTGTAATGGTGAGAAATTGCGTAAAATTATAGCTCTTTCTAATTCTAGCCCTATGCAAATTACACACACGCATTCTTTTATACAGTGACACCTAGTGATGCCCTACACCTTCTGCATCACAGGGATCCCCACAAAAGGGGAGGAATGTGTTTCTTTTTAAGTGAAAGATTGTCTCTATACACTTATAGTTCTCCCCTTCACAATGTATCCTCCTCCTTACCCAGTCAGATCTTTCCTAGTTTCCCATTTACTGCTCAACTGTCTTCCACCTTTCTTTTTCTGACAGCCTTCCCCTTGGTTAGTCAGAGACTGCAGTGGCTGCATGCATGCTTGCTACTCTAATTTAGTATCACGCTCTTCATGCCTGTGTCAGGTTGGGACAACATGCATGAATCTGTTCCCTGTGTGGGCTCCTGCCAGCCCAGGGGTTCCAGCCACACTTCACCCCCACATCCCCTATGGTCTGAGGGGTGGTGTGCTGCACCCCTCCACTTCAAGAAATTCTAGATCCACCCATACACCATGGCATGTCATCTTCTTTCAAATCCCTGCCTCTTCCATTCATGAAAGACTCAGCAACAAAGCAATCTGAGCCTTTAAAAAGGTAAAGGGAGTAAAGCAAACAAGTCCTCCTTCAGGGAGACTTCATGCAGAATCATGAGGCTTAGCTGGGCAATGCCACAAAATGGCTACCTGCTGTAAGAGGCCCTTAGCCCTGGAGGGGAGGCTGGTGTGGACATTTTGTTACATTTAATACTAGGTGGTTATGGGTAAGTGCTGGAGAGGTCCCTGAAGAGCCCAATTCCAGAAATTAATGGAATTTGTAACTTATATTAGGAGGAGGTAACTGCTTTAGGTTTGTGTTTGTTGCTCCTCTGTGTGCTGTGTAAACAATAACTGTAGTGCTACGGCAAGGGCCAAGAACCAGTTTGACAGCTGCAGATTAGGTGAGTATACCCAACATTGGATGCTTGGAGAGAGGTCATGCAGCATAAATGCTGAGGGTGCTTTCCTCAGTGAGTCAGAACACAAGTCAGAATCTGGGCACATAGACAGCTCTTATGTGTGTAACCTCAGTGGAAAGGTGTAAGTTGTAACAGCATCTAAGGAACAAAACAAAAAAAACCCAAAGAGACATGAGCGAATGCAGGTGGATGAAAATGTTTTTAATCAACTGAAAGCAGTAGAACAGCAGAAAGATTTAGTAGCTAAGGGTGCCTGTACATGGCATAGGATTTAATCCTTATTTAATTAAATAAGTTTATAAAATTAAAAATTGTTTATTTCAGAGTGTTGCATCGGTGTTTGCATGTACTAGGCTTTCAAAGGAATTAAACTTGGTTTGCAATTCCTTGTAAATTCCAGCAGGGGAAGCTGCATACCAATCTACCCCACTGCTATCTTCCCTACTGAATTACAGCAGGGGGTGCATGTAAACCAGTAATACACCACTCCCTACTCCCTCCTCACTCCTGAAACCAGCCCACTTCCAAGGGAGCCTCATGCTAACCCCCTCCTTAACTCTCCCCTGCCAAGCTATGGACACCCAGAAACCATGTGAACTCCCAACCCCTTGTGAATCAACGCACCCCCACATGAGCTCCCACCCCTCTCCCATCCCCTCCCAAATCTCCTTAAAGGGTGCTCAAAAGGCTCCCTCTCTCCAAGCGAGGGATCCCCATGGTAACCTGTGGTCATCACAGCCCCACTCCCAAGCCCACCCGGGGGGGAGGAGGGGACCCTCCAGCTTCCCCACCTGTCCAAATAGGTGCCCTGCCACTTGCTGCCCCCTAGTTTCCAGTCTCCAGCAGGCAGTCCGTGGCAGGGACCCCATGCCATGCTGCGTGCATCCCCTCCCACACCACCAAACCATGTGAACTCCCATATAAGAAAATAAATATAAATGAAAAAATATATATGAAATGTAATTTTTATTTATAAATATATACATTTTCATGGGGTGAGGAGCGGATGGCTTACCCATTCCTCATCCTCCTCCATGTTGCTGATGGTGGTTGTGGCTGGTGTGGGGGGCAGGATGTATACCACCTGTGGTGGTGGTGGCAGTGTGTGCCCCCCCAGGACCATGAGGTAATACATCACAGGGGGGTTGACCAAAAACTCGTGTCCATCCAACATTTTGTGTTCCATGTTTCAGGACTACATTTCCCAGCATCCCCCCAGTGGTTGGGGCTTGGGACAGTTTCCATGGGGAAACTGCAGCTGTGCTGTGATGGTGTGAATACCTGCACATATGTGTGCGACTGTGTCTGTTGTGTGGCACAGCTCTGTGCAATGTTGGGGTGACTATAGCCTGCACCACACCCACATCTTTCTGCCAAATGTAATGGCATGGCATGTAGATGCATCTCAGCATCTTGAGAAACAAGGTGTATTAAATGGATAACTTTCCTGTACTCCAAAAAGCATTCTTTGCACTTTACTTGGATATAGTCTTAAAAGGTGGCTAAGAAGCTGGCTGTCCTCCCAGTAACCAAGGCAAATGACCGTTCCCCACCGAAAACCTAAGAAATCCTGTAGGCTGCTCATAGTCCCCGCCACACACACACACCTAGGCCAAAGAGAGGTTTAATTAACCCTTTACAGGGCATGGTCCATCCAGGGAGGTTAGGCTACCTGGTGTTGGGCATTGAGTTGTACGTGCCCCTCCGCCCCCACCTGGCTGCCAGGCTGGAAACCCCCTTCTCCAGGCCAGGCAGCCACTCTCTGCCCACCCCCCATGCCCTGCTACAGTTCTTGGTGGTGCCCAGCTATTCAGGTTACTGTGGGAAGTCACAGACCCATGCCTGATCCCCCACCCCCGGTCCTCCCATCCTCACCAAAACTTCCTCCCACCCCACCTGCTACTACAGACAAAAATGTACTTGAAGACACAGATGTTTTCTGGTGTAAATAGACAAACCAGCCAGTGCTAGTTGTCAGCAGTGTCCATAATATGCGTGGCCAGACAATCCCATGCAAGGGCCACACAACCAGCATCTCCATGCTTGTATTGCTGTGTGCCATGCGCTGCCCACCCTCATCGCTGTCTGTCCACTGCCTCCCATGCTTTGTCAGCCCACGACTCACTGGAAACCTCCCCCCTGGTTTCACAAACATTGTGGGGCATGCAGGCTGCCACTATAAAGGTCGTTATGTTTTCTGGTTCCAACTCAAGCCTGCAGTTCAGTGCCCCCCACTGTGCATTAAGGTGGCTAAAGGCACATTCAACACCCATCCTGCATTTTCTGAGATGGTAGCTGAAAGCCATCTTCTTTGGGTTGGTAACATGCCCTCCATAAGACTTCATGAGCCAGGGCTTGAGGGGGTAAAGTCTGCTATTATAAGCAGGGGGACGGCAACACCATGGATCACTATGTTGGGCACTCTGGGTGAATAGAGTCCTTTCTCCATGAAGTCAGGCAGCAGAGAGTTTCTTTATACACACTGCCTGCCCACCCTGTTGTGAACCAGCCCTGGTGATCCATGGTACTTGACCCCCCCAACCCGGTTTTGGAACAGGGTGTCATTTGCTGCATTTGTAGTGCCGGATGAGCATTTCAGCCTCCTGCACCCCACTTTCCTCCCCTAACTTGTTAGAATGAGTTCTGTGCCCACCCCCTGCCCCAAGATATAAGTTCATCATTCATTTATTCATTGTGAAAAAAGTTGGTATTCTGGCAGTCAAGGACATAGTGCTCTTGATTTGGTGGCACAGCAAGGCTAAAGGCAGTTTGGCCTGTAGGAAGAGCAGCCAGGCACAGACACTTGGGTGTGATCATCATTGGGATATAATGGAGCATTATTGAGCTTTCCAAATGGACAATGGGGGCCAATTTGGGCCAGGCTATGCTTTGTTTGTAAATGTTGCTGGATCACATTGCCCTGACTGCCAGTTCTGAGACATAATTGACACCTTCACAGTTATGAGAATGTGGAATTTAAAAAAAAAATGTCTATATAACAGTCCTGCCAAGTTTGCCAATGACTTTTCATGACTCTGTTGTTGTCAGAATACCTCAGTCTTGACAACTTCTTGGGCACGAACAGCTTCCTGATGTTTCAGAAAGCCAAGTCCAGCAGTATGCAGGTGACAGAGTAGGAGGCTGATACACCTATCAACTGGGGTCTCAACTGGACCTGGGAAGAAATGAAGGACTTGATTGACATTTGGTAGGAGGAAAAGATCACAGAGTAGCTAGAAAGTAGGAGGAATAAGCTGCTGTATACCACAATAGCAAATGAAATGAGGGCACAACCAGGACTGGACACAGTGCTGGAACAAGATCAATGCCCTGAGATGTGCGTTTCATCAAGCCAAGGATGAGCACGCTTGTTCTGGGGCAGGGCACATAATTGCTTCTTTCTACAACCAGCTGTCCATCATTTTCTCCAAGGATGTGGGTGAGGTTTCCTGTTTCCAGTTGTTTGGGACTGGCATTATCCTGGAGAGCACACCTAAGGAAGGAGCCTCTCAGTGTCCTGAGATGGAAACCATGAACATATTGGAGCAGTGGGGCAACTGCTCCATGGTGCTGGATGAGAGGGACACCCAAGAGGAGATGACCCTGATCATGACCCCAATCTCACCTCCTATTCTACTGAGTAGTACAGATGAGGAGGAGCAGGAGGACACCACTTTGGATATGGTACCACACCAGAGGTTCCTCCAAAGACGCAAAGAATGGTTTCTGTTCCCAAGATGCAAGAAGATTCGCAAGCGGGGACTTGTAAGTATCAGGGCTTGGGCATTATATCTATTTGCACCACTCTGGCAGGCACTGCAGGTTGAATGTGCTGGAGGGTTACTGCATGTAGCACTGGAGTTTGGCCACCATCCTCCAGAATACTTGGGGGTGGAGGAAGGATATTTCACCATACTATGAACACTTTGTTTTCCTTTTCCTGTTACCAGCTACCATGGCCAATGCCAGCTGGAGATGTGCCTCTGAACTGGGGATTTGTAAGTTCCAGGGAATGGGCATTATATCCATTTCTGCCACTCTGGCAGGCACTGTTTTGGTGCCTGTGGGTTGGATGTGCTGGGGGGTTTAGTGCATGTAGCACTGAGGGGTGGGGGAAGGATATTTCACCACACCAGGAACACTGTTTTCTTTTACCTTTTCATTTGCAGCTACCATGGCTGATGCCAGCTGGGGACATGCTTCCAAACCTTTGGCCTCCAGCTTGCACTGGAGCAGAGTGCTCCCCGGATTATCACCACAGGCAGCAATACCCCAGACAGAGCATGATGGAGGCTTTGGTGGAGGTGGCACAAACCCAAGTGGCCACCACAGATGACTGGCAGGACAAAGTCTGGAAGATGCCTAGGTCTGATGAAGATCGGGAGAATTGAAGCATGGACAACACAATAGAATTCAGGAAGCAGCTCCTAGATCACACAGGTCAGTTTCTTGACCTGGCCACACAGTACTGTGTGGATGTGCAGATGACATAAGACTTGATTAAGCATGAACAACCACACCATTAATAAGTGGGTACTATCCCCGAAAGTGCACACTAGCTGCACTCAGCTTGCTTCTGTCCAGGAAGTAGCCAGGACCATTACAGCTGAGCCTGTTCCCCCAAAGTGCAGTGCAGTCAACCAAGGTGTGTCCCAGTGCCAGCAGGGCAGGCAGGCACCACTGGAGTTCAGGCAGGCACCACAACAGGAAGCACAGCAGGGAAAGAAACCCAAGTTATATACTATACCAAGTACTACACTGTCCCTATGTGTTGCTATTTTTAGCTCCTGTTTCACTAACTTGTGTTTCCATTACTTTTGTGTATTCTCCTTACTGAGCTCTCAGGTGGAATAAAGCTGCATTTTCCCCTGTCTGTCTGCCTCCTTTATTGGGAAGGAGTAAAAATGCTTGCCTGTGGGTAGGGGTGGAGGGGGGTGAAGAAAGAAAACCCAAGCATTCCCTGGCTAGCCTCAGACCCAGAGTGGTAATGAAACTTCAGTGCAATGGTGGGTGGAGTTGAAGTGGGGGAGGGGGGAAGAGCAGGGATAAACTGTTAACAAGCCCCTCTCAGCTTTTCCTCCTCCTGCTCCAGGGAGAACAAAGACAGGGAGCTCAGCCTGAGTAGGTGCTAATTGCCCTCTTTGAAATGTGAAGTAACTATGTTATATGCCACATTACCAAGGAAAGGGGCAGCCCTGAAAGTGGCAATGGCAATCCTTATATGGAAGAATTGACCTAGACACTTCTGTTATACATATTGTCTTAGATAAGCATACAGCTTTCATGTGTAACCTTGAGGTGTTCTGTACTTGAGAGCTGTGCTGTCCTCCACATACGGACTTTGCAACATGTCACATTTTCAGAAAATGACTTGTGGCTACCCCATGGGACCCTGTGGGAGACCCTTCTTTGCATACCCATGGCTCATTTCTTATCTACATCTTTTTGGAGCTCTTTTGCAAAAAAAAATACCAGGATGGTGCTAGCGTATCTGCACCGACTGATTTTTTGCACTGAAATGAGGGTGCATGGGGGGAGGGGGTGGTGAACTTTTCCTGACCTGCTGAA